GAGGCACCGGAGCGCGGCTCCTGGGCTAACAAAACCGAATTCCTCCTCTCGTGCGCCGGCTACGCGATCGGCATCGGAAATGTTTGGAGATTTCCCTACCTGTGCTACAGAAATGGCGGAGGTACGGTTCTTCGATTATTTTCAATTTTTTTGTTTTCGTAGCGCCGCGACCTTTTGGGAAGAAAGTGAGCTAGACGGTGTGTTGCCTCGGTCATTGCTGCGGCATTATCCTATCCATTCTTATCGAATAATGTACGATAATATGATATAATGATATTTTAACGAAACACAGGAGAAATGTGCGAAGGCTAAGATTAAATTGTAACCGAGAAAATGGCAGATTCTTACGAGATATTTCAACTCTTTCTTCCATCACTATTCATAACCGAATAAAGTATTAAATTTTGTATATCGAATTAATTTCATTCATTATTTAGACTCTAATAAGCCATTACATCAGCCTAGCCTTGTCAATTAATTTCAGATTTAATAGCCCCTTTACTTTATTTAACACAGATTGTTAAATAACGAATAAAAAATTTTATAAGTAGTTGAAACTGTGAATGTATTTTACTACAACAAAATCTATATTAGCTTGTACTTTAAATAGATTGTACTTCAAACTTTATAAGAAGCGAATTAGCCATAACATTCAACGATAAAAATGTTAAACTGCAATTACAATTGATATAATTACCTTCCACATACACATACAAATATATATATATATGCGCGTGTGTGAATAATAAAATTAATCAATAAATAATTCGAATGTGAAATCTAGCGTTTGTTAGATTGGAAATGAGCCTCAATCATCTGATTACCTTTGAGATAATGAATTATTTCGGACTATAAATTGCTACAGCTATATTATAAATTCTAAGAATGTAAAAAACGCATTCTATTCAGCGCGATCAAACCATCTAGAAGTCTTTAAAAAAAAAAAAAAAAAAATAAATAAATAAATAAATAAATAAATAAATAATAATAAAATTGTAATCAGTAAATGAAATTAGTACGATACAACTCTAGCTGCGTTTGTCATAACTCCTTATTATTCTTCATTCTCTCATCATTCAAATGTCCATCGCATAGTTATAAAAATAATAAGTATTTGCGTACAGTTAGGTATCGAATAACCTTTCATTAAAATTCCATGTTTACGGATATTATCGCTATCGATAATTGTTATTATGTCGCACAGGCTGAACATTAGGTGGGATCGACTGATACGGAAGTGGCTACTTCAAAAGCACAAGCTTATGCTAAGTGCTTGAAAGTAAATCATTAACGAAATAGATTTCTTTAAGAGTAGTAGAAGAATGTTCACTGTGTTAACAGTACTTCTTCGCTTTTACTCGAAGCGAATATATAGCGAGCAAATGGCGCACGGTTCCGTAAGTAAAGTAAGTGTCTTGGAAATCGAAAGGGAGCCGGACTGACGAGTGGCCGAGGTGAACTTTCCCCGCGTCCTTCCATTCGACAATATCGCGCGCGCGCGACAAAGAGGACGCATTGGTATGCTCGAGGAAAATGAAATTCTCCAAATACGTAGGAAAGAAACGTCGGTCCGCGAGCAAATGCGACAGCTCAATAAACAACACTGGTGTCTACTTTTATCTTGTCGCGCGATTCACCAGAACTTTCTGCGCATCTTTATTGTCGCGGCTGACAACAATCGCATGACTGTTGACAATGAGCGCTTTAATCGAGTAATTTCATTTGTTTCGTTTCTCTGCCTATAATCCCCGCCTCTATCTCTCTCTCTCTATCTCTCTCTCTCTCTCACTCTCACTCTCTCTCTCTCTTATACTCGTATTTACACAAATGCTTAATTCGGCTGAATTGTTTTCTGCGTTTAGAAAATTTTTTCTTCGTACCGATACCTTGGTTATCTCTCTCTCTCTCTCTCTCCCTCCCACTCTCCCGCTCTCTCGCTCTCTCGCTCTCCCCTCTTTTTCTTCTCTCCCTTTGTTGTTTAAAGCTACTTATGAGTTCTTTGTTTCTCTGTGCATACGTTTAATATGTAATCAAGTGCCTACATGCCCAAGCTCTTCTTTCATCGAAATTTACCATGTAATTCGGCCTTTGTTCAATGTCCCTATTATTTAATCATACGTTTTAAAAACATCAAGATATTGATTTGCATTGCGTTACATCACTTCTTCCTTTAAGCTTTAAACCTGCTTTTCTGCCTCCGTCGCTTTAAAAGAGAAACATTTAATAAACGTCGATATATGAAATTGTTAGTCTATTTGTAAAAGGAAATATATATTTTTAATTCGAACGATAATATTTCAATCGAACGGAAAGTTTAGCCTAAGCGATATATAAAATAATTATAAAATCCCGTGAGAACTAGTTTATCCAAAAGCTCCAACACTATGAGTAGTGGCCTATGCAATCGTCGTTATTGTATTAGAACGAAAGACAAATGAAATAATGGCAAATGAATCGAATGCCAGCCGAGTTGTTTTTGTTGCTTTTAATTGCAAAAGATCTTGAATTACAATTTACAGGAGCCTTCTTAGTGCCCTATCTGTTAATGCTGTTCCTATGTGGCGTCCCTCTCTTTTTCATGGAATCTTCCATGGGCCAATTCGGGGGTACCGGCTGCATAACGATGTTTCGAATGAGCCCATTGTTCAAAGGTAATGTCGTCGTCGTGCCGGTCGACCGAACCAATGGATCGCGTAATTCACACGTACTCTTACAACCCATCGTATTTCGGCAAATTTATGGACTTTAATTTCATGATGCAGGTGCGGGCTTCGCTATCGTCATTGTCAATATTATCTGCACGATGTACTACAATGTCATAATAGCTTATCCACTCATGTTTTTGGTAATGTCGCTAAGAAATACTCTGCCCTGGGAGGATTGCGACAATCCGTGGAACACGTATGGCTGTTTAAAGGTACGTTCCGATAAATTTATTATAATTTATTTAAGCGTTCGTTGCGAGAGCATAAGCTATTATCGCTTTTGTATGTGAATTATTGAATTATTAATTAAGTGGCTACTTGTAATGACGTTGGATTAACCTTACGTAAAATGTAAATGAAAATAAACGAGCTTTAATGTGAGAATTTCTACGAACATTATTTTTAAGCCATAATTAACGTTAATCGTTAATATAGCATTATGTAACTGTTTGTTTTGTTTTGATTTGTTTTATATATATATATATATATATATATATATATATATATGTTTTTTTTTTTTTTACTAATCTTCACTAGCTTGGCGGCGAAGTGTTTACAAAAAAAAATACAACGGATCAAATTCAATTGATTGAAAATACTAAAACACCCGCTGATGAATTTTTTCAGTAAGTAATTTATTTTTTAATATACTTATAATTTATATCTATGCTAATTTTGTATTTATGTTACCTGTCATGTCACCTCTCACGAATGAGATCGATTATTCAGGGGGAGAAGAAAAAAATAAACAAAAAAAGAAAACAGATAAATAAATAATTTCAAAAAATTACAATTTCAGTAATCACATTCTCAAGATATCCGACAGTATAGATGATATTGGCGGAATAGTTTGGCCATTATTCGTTTGTAACTTAATCTCATGGATTATAGTCTTTCTATGTATTTGCAATGGCGTTAAAACTGTCGGCAAGGTATATATACATATATATATATATATACTAGATATGGGAAAAAAATTCCTTTTTTATCGGCAATGGCTCGTTATAAAAAAATTAATGTAATTTTCCATTATAGGTTGTTTATTTTACCGCGACGTTCCCGTTTATCATCTTGTTCGTTCTTTTCATCAGAGGCGTCACGCTTCCCGGCGCCATGGATGGAATTCTCTTCTACATCATGCCGAAATGGGACGAGCTATTAAATTTAAAAGTACCTTTTTTCATGACATTTTTCAAACAAAATTTAACGGTAAATTTTTATATTTTTATCTAGCGATTGAAAGACGTCTTCCCACCCATCGAAACAAATTTAAATTTACATTAAATATACTATAAATATTATTTTATTATAAATTACAATGCGAATCCTATGATAACGATTGTTATATGTGTATATTAGGTATGGGCAGATGCAGCGATTCAAATTTTTTTTTCCCTTGGTCCTGGTTGGGGCGGTATCGTAAACATGGCCAGTTACAATCCATTTCAAAATAATAATCGATTGTAAGTATGATCAGATTGGTGCATTATAAGAACGAAAATTACATTCGTAGTGCCGTTCGGCTATTAAGAACCTCTTGCTGTTGAAACCGTATCCGTGAAACGTCAATAATTCAATTTTCACACTCTCGTGATTGATAACAACAGCGAGAGATTATTATGCGCTGTTATTATTGAATATCGATCAATCATAATATTTATATGAGTTTACATATCGTTCAGAGACTCGATATTAGTGCCCATTTTGAATTGCGGCACAAGTATCTTCGCTGGCTTCGTCGTTTTCTCGGTGCTTGGCTTTATGGCTTACAAAACTGGGCTTCCTGTATCAACGGTCGCAACCGGAGGTGAAGTTGCCTCTCATTTGTACGCCTCGTCGCAAGTTCAACCAATTCCTCTCTAATAAACATTTGAGTCTTTTAGGGCCCGGGCTTGCCTTTGTCACATATCCGGAAGCAATAACAATGCTTCCTTTCCCTCAATTTTGGGCTGTCCTATTTTTCTTCATGCTTTACCTCTTAGGAATGGACAGTTGCGTAAGTATTACCAATCCTTTTTACCATTGGCACATTCTTAAAATTCAAATGCCCAACAGTTTGTACAAATTGAAGCTATAATATCGAGCGTTACGGATGCATATCCAGACTTGAGAAAGCGTAAGCACATGGTTACCCTAGTGTCATTGGTACTTTTATTTCTGGGATCTATTGTTTTTGTTACAAATGTAGGTTAAAATTTTCATACACGCTCGTCAATGAAATCGTTAACAAAATGTTTGAAACGAACTTTATATAGGGCGGAATGTACATTCTTCAAATGTTTGATTGGTATGCTGCGTCGATCTCTGTTATCTCTATTTGCCTCGTCGAAGTAATTGTCGTAGGATGGACTTACGGTAAGCACTTAAAACTAGTCATTTTAACGACCTTAACGCAGCTCTATTTCTCTATTTCAATCTCAATATTAACGTCGCTTTATTCAATAACAGGCTGTGAGAATTTCGTTCGAGATGTCGAATTCATGATCGGGGAAAAATTGCACTGGTGGTGGCCACTCTGCTGGAAATATATAACACCTATTATATTATCCGTAAGTTTGATGTATTTGTTTAAAAAGAGCTTTCCTTCATTAATATTATCCTATGAATAAGTCAATAAATAAATGAGTAAATCAATCGATCGATCAATAAATAATATAGGCTGGCGAGGATGACGCATTTTTCAAAGATCTCGCAAACGGGCTCAAGTAAAGCGCCTTACACAAAGTACATATGAAATGCTTTTTTTCTTTCAGTTTATTTTTGTGACAACGATAATGTTCAATACTCGATTAACTTATAACGGAATCGCTTATCCGGAGTGGGCTGTCGCCCTCGGCTGGTGCTCGTGCCTTATCAGTATGCTGTGTATCCCTGGATACGCTATTTGCTACTTGACCTTCTCTAAGGTACTTTTATCACAAATAAAATATGCACACGCGCACACACAATACACACACATACACACAGTACACGCGCGCGCGCGCGCACACACACACACACACACACAACACACACACATACTACAAACAATACACACGCGCGCGCGTATATATATATATATATATATATATAAGTATGTATGTATGTATGTATGTATGTATGCATGTATGTATGTATACGTACCGTTGATTGATAAATTGGCATGGAGAACTGCTTGTTTCATTGTTACGGAAGCACGTTTAACTTTCATAGCACACGATTTGCATTGCGCAACTGCATGCTCGTTCGTCGGTTTTGGATTAAATTTTAATTATCCAATTTCAGAAATATTGCATTTAAGAAACATCGAATTTATCTACGTGTATTTACGTATAAATCCCGACGATATTTAACTTGAATCGCGTGCCCCTTTATATCATGCAAGTGTTTAAATGGTACGACAAAGTTTGAAATGCTTATCGTTGAAATTAAAAAATGTAAGCTAATCGTGCTAAGCCGCCTCGCCTTTTATTAATGATTCTATTTACTAATTAAATCAAAGATATATGTATATACACGCGCGAGCACACAATATTCTTACCATTTTTTTTATCATAAATATTATTATTTACGTAGGGAAGTCTGAAAGAAAAAATCGAATACGGGATAAATCCAACGAAAGAATGGGGACCTCAGAAGAAGGAGAACCGCGAAGCTTGGGAGAAATTTGTTAAAAATACACGAAGACTTTCTGATCGCTCGTTGGTCAATAGCGTTAAAGTAACAAAATGCTAAAGTAGGAGAGCGCCCAATAGATTAAGATTGTACGTAAGTTTTGATAAAGAGTACGATAATATGAAATTCATAATGAATGGCCCATCGAGCGTCCAACGATTGATTGCACCTTTAATTAAAAAAGAGAGAAAAGAACATTTTTTTTATGCGTTTGCCCTGAGCTGGGCTCGAAATATCGAATGACATACATGGATGTTTGTAAACATAAAATAGATATGGGCGCGCGCGTAAATATCATTATGTAAAACGATGTGAAATGTCTTTTATGATCCAGGCACCCATACAGACGCGTACAACGTTTGAAGTTGCCGCGATTGTTTAGCCGCGCGGATCGTAAGATAAAAAAAAAATCTTACGGGCTGCTTAAATTTCAAGTCGACTTTCGATTCCCAGCGAATCGACGTAAATTACCGTTAAGACCAAGAAGCCATCGAGGAGGTCAAAGACAATAGATAAATAATGCCGGGGGCGAAAAGTGCGGAGCCCTCGTCGTGCTGCCAGGACAAAAACTTAACCTCCCAGAAGCCGATAACCCCGTCGAAAAGGAACGAGTCACCGACCAAGCATAAAGGGGCCGACAAAACGAAATGCCCGAGGAAATCCAAGCTCGAGGATGAAAAGCCGAGCTGCGACATCGAAGCCAGCGAGCACCCGGGGCCGAGCCCCGAGGAGGTCAAGGCCCGTCGGATGCGCATCCTCTTACGCAAACAGAAGCGCGCCGAGGAGCAGCTGAAGATGATGTTCGAGACGTCGGTCGACCCCTTCGAGAAGCCGCTCAGGTGGTGGGAGCACCCCCACGTGAAATACGCGTAAGTAGCCTCGGCCTCATCGCGATGATCATGCGCGCCCTCCTGTCCTATGGAGCCCAACTATGAAATGTGCACCACGACGCCCCCGATGGTTGGTCCTGTTTTCGCGTGTTGCCCCGGCCCCCATCCAACCCAGCCACCAAATACCACGCGAGGCTCGCCTAACGGTGTCTAGTCTCTCCGCTAATCTTTCCCTCGCCGCACCGCCTCGTTAAACGGTCTCAATACGACGCGAGCCTACGACCGATTTCGGAATGATCGCTGACGATCGGGGGGCGGGCGACGCGTCATCACGCTTCACTTACTTCCTCGTATTGACTGCGGGGGTACGTAAACGTGCGCAGTCCCGATACACTGGAGGTAGCTCGTCTCTGGGACTCTCCTCCCAGCCTCGTGCGCCCATTACGTAACAGCTTTTATCGTTATAAAGCACCGAGGGATGAAGCAGAATTTTGGCGCTCCGGGACATGGGGCCGAGGAATTGTCGGTGCGGCGTGATTTGCTTGCCCTCGAGCTTCTCAAGATTAACGCTTATAAAGAGTGCGCCGCGGCATTATCGATTCGTCGGGAAGCTATTGGAAGCTAATGAAAATGTATTGGGGCTGACGGCGGAGGGCCGAGAGTCGAGTCAGTGGCAGGAGTCGGAGTCGGACGTTTATTGGGCTTGTCAATTTGTGATCGAATGAAATGAGCTTCGCCGCCGGGGGATTCTGGGCGACCGTCGAACTACTGGTGGCTTTAGATGCCCCGTCCTACCTTGTATCACGATCTCACGAGAATGACAGGGGCGACTGGTTCGACGAGCGTATCCCGTGTAAAGTTAAGATGCAGCTGAAGCGGAACGACGAGGCAGACAAAGTCAAGGTTGGCAAGACCGCCGCTCGCAAGGATAATGTGGATTATGGAAATCTGCTCGATTGCAGGTAGATTGAAAAGAGCTTTGGTAAAGCGGAGGTCGACGAGTTCTTCTATGCTTGTTTGTTTGTTTCTTTGTTTGTTTGTTTTTTCTTTTGTTTTTGTTTTTGTTTTTTTTTTTGTTTTTTTTTGTTTTTTTTTGTTTTTTTTGTTTTTGCTTTTTAAAGCGAGTGATTTATTAGCTGTAAAAGCGTGACGGGGAGATCTTTCGAGGCGTGGCGAGCATCGTGTATCTCGAGATCTTCGCGGGCTGTGTTTGGTGAATAATATTGTCGATCAGCGGGAATCAGCGGGAGAAAGTAATTAGACATCGATGTTGGCGAGTAAAAAGAGGAGTTTTCCAAGTACCGATAAGAGTCGTTTGATAAAAAAGGTCGTTTAAAAGCATTGACGCGCGCTCTGGGCCGTTGAAGAATCTCGAATCCTCTTTACTCTTGTATGCGATAAGACATTTCGACGATGATGCAAAGCTGAAATAATTCTTTATAGTGTTTCATATTAAATTGAAATTAATCCATATGACGATCGTCTATTGTCATAATCCATAATTATGTTTGACGATTCCGCTATGAATGCGCTACAATCCTCATTCAACGATTATTTCATTGATATTTACGGGAGTAACGTTACACGGAAACGAACATTTAAACGAAATGTATCGAATTTCTGATTTTTGCACGTAATATTAATGCAGAAATACGAAAATTAATATATGATTTTGCCTTGAAAAATTTGCTTTCAACAAACATGCCGCACTATGATAAATTATCGATTAAAAATTAAAATATTTAATAACATTTGCTCCTGTTCCCGTATAAATATCATGAGCATTAGAGAATTCAATTGACTTAAAAATCTTTTATAAAATATCATCATTTTAAAGACACGCTGGACCTCGACATTCTCATTGTATTTTGAAGACGAAGAATGCAAATATTCGAAAATTCATCGGGAACGGCGATAGTGTATAAATTGCCACTGAATAATGCTGTTTGTTCTTTATATTAAAAAGCTCTATATACATGCATACATGACTAAAAAATCAAAAATTTTCCCGGCCCCGAGTCACTAATTTAATTTACAATTTCATTATAATTATAAAATCACTTTGCTCTATTTGCATTTACATAATACTACATTATTTATGAATGTGAAAAGAACTTTCGTTTTGCATCGTATGAAGACTCAAATGGGAAGCTATTTTACTTTGAAGTAATTTCCTCGAAATATACTATTATACATTTTCCTTTATTCATCGTGAGAAAGGTAAGATTAGTATGGCAGATGCATACTAATTTGAGTTTTAGGCTTATTGTCATCGTGACCGTAAAAATTCCTTTGCTAAAGTAAATTCGATGTTTAAAAAGTTCTTCTTTTATTCTTTAAAATGCGAATTGTAATTAAAATTACGGCTCTTATGATGTTGCTTATTATTAAATTATAATTTATAAGCATCGAATTCTATTCTATTCTATTATTATTAAATTAGTAACTGTATTATGATATGCATTTTTTTTGATACCTTACAAGAATAATGTGTAATTTAAATGAAATAAGAGTAACGTATCCAGTATGCGATAAATAATATAGATATTGCATAATAAAAGAAATTTGTACTTTAATGTTAATTGTATTTAACTATTGTCAAAATATTTGTAAATGAAACAAGAGAGCCAATTTAATAATTAATAATTAAATAAGTAAATAAAATCTATATATACAATGAAATTGCAATTAAATTTTCTCTTAATTAATGAAGCTCACTGAATTTATCCATTACTTTGTTTTCAAAGGTACGACAAAAGTTAAATATTTTCATTATGAATTTTTTAACGAAAAATTAATGAAATATCATTGATAATTAATATAAAATATGTGCTAATAAAATGTAAATTATGCGTATGAAATGAAAAAATTTTGCTTCGGACGTGGATGTTTTTATTTTTCACGTAGCTAATATCAAATGAAGTTTGACAATCGAAGAGAGAAAATGTACGAAAATTTCTTTCTTTTTTTTCCCTAGAATTTCAGCGATACGATTTTTAAGCAAAGTCATGTATATTATTTCCTCATCACATTCATGTCCTGATTTTAATGTTATATATTATAGATTTAACAAACTTCTGTAAGCTGCAATTGTTTTGTAAATATCTTTTGTGGCAGTTTGTTGGAGAAGTCGAATCAATATTATCAATTTGAACAAACATAATACCGTTATACATAGTATAAAACATTGTAAAGCATTCATAATGTTTATATTTATTAAATTTAATACTATGTAGTTTCTTATAAATAAAAATAATGAATTCTGCATTGGTGAAAATCTCTTAAATCCGCGCGTGTTCATTTATTTAATACTTCCTCCTAAACACAAATGCAGTAGGTAAAAAAATTGTTTACGTCTCTATAAAAGCATTGCCGAAAATAAATAATAAAAAAAGGGATAATATGCAAGTCATCCACGATAAATGCTTACGCTTCTTATTCTTTTTCCATCACATTCGCACTTCAAAGCTCATAAATTCTAATTTTCTGCACTCGGAGCAGAATGAGAAACTACGACTCGCATAGCCAGAGAAAATAGATCGAGACACAGCTTTTATATTCCTAACATGCGTCCTTTCAGCAAGCACTTTACCTCTTATTAGTCTACGCTTTTCTCGTACATTGCGAACAGAGAAAATATCATCTTATTTCTATCAAGTGTCTTTCGACCCTTCGTCTCCATAAATATATGACTGTCAGATATTGCAAACATTATGTCGAACACATTTTCGATGATCATTCGCCTCCTGGACTTATTTATTCTTTGCCCGTATTGTTCCTTTTACGAGAATTATATATAACCTTGTACTGTAGTTAACATGGATACTATAACTTGAGATCCACGTAGAAAAATGTTCGTGGCATTTCGTATTTTCAATCACCAAGGCAAATGCCAAAGTGCCATTCTCATTTTTTCCTTAGAGTTTTTTAACTCGTACGATTCATTAGCTACCAACTTTCCCTCTAATTCACTCCGAGCCTTTCATTTACCGTCAATTTCTTTATTCTGTCACTCTAACTCTTGCTTTCTTACTTATGACGCTCACCTCTCATACCGACACCTTCTTACAATTATAGAATTCAAGCTCTTTAAGTACATGAAAAAAAAAAAAAAAAAAAATCACGCGCATAAAACAGCAAGGCGTGTTTCTTTGATAATGAAAATACAAAATTAATAAATATTCTTTTCATTGCTCTTATAACAATTCTACCAAATACTCCGATATTTAACTCAATGAAAATTGATAACAATCGAAAAGCTTTTTTTTTCTTTTTTTTTTTTTTTTTTGTAAGAACGAGCAGGTTTTCAGTACAGTAGATGGATTTTGTATGTGACCAGTCTTGAGAAGATAAATAACAAGGACAAGACGATCAGCCGAAGAAAATAAATATGAAATTTTTTAGAATATCGATGTATTTATTTGTAGTTGATATATTGGCTTAATGAGACAAGCTACGCCATTATCCGCTTTAAATAAAGAAAAATGCAATAATTAATAGTAAATCATAAAATTATTCAATAGCGAAAATGCATCTACTTCAACGTTATGTGGTATAATGCCAGGAAATAAAAATTTAATGATAAAAGATATTATGATTCGTCGAATGTATTTATTTTCGTCAACACTGTTGTAAAATTCTAAACAAACTACACACGAGCCATGAAAAGGCATAATTTGCCCACTAAAAGGCCTCTGATACGATTCTCCACTACTTAACATCATTTAATAATCAACAATGTTAAGAAAATTATAACTTATAAAAAGTAGTATAAGATTCTAAATTTTTCAAATGAAAATGCAAAACAATATTTATTTAACGAAATGTGAGATAATGTATTTATTTTCAAAATAAAAGTAATAAATATTGATTATAGAACTATAAAAAGTAAGGATAGTAAAGTAGATCAATGGTAGATGGAATGAAAATCTATTATGTAATCGTTTATCGTACTTCTGTCAAGTGCATGTTTAGTATTTCGAACATACTTTCTTTTTTATTTAGAGCAGCAAGAAATTACATTTTAATAATCATTAAAT